ACATTTTGGATATTACTTTAGTAATTAAAGTAATTACTAAATTAATAAAGTTGAATTTTAAAATAGGATTTTAAATTTCAAATCCAAAATAATAATAATATGATTATTATAAGATTGGGAAAATGATATAATAATAAAGTCTTGAGAAAGATTCTCAAGATTTATTATCCAATTATTATTTATATCTTTAAATATGATTTAAGGATTAAAATAAGAAATATGATTATAATAAAATGGTTGTTAATGGTTGTTTGAACTACTTAACATACCTTATTATTTTCAAAGTCAATGGTTAGTAAATACTATTTAAATATTACTAAATATTGATTATTTTATGCTAAAATGTTTAGTATAAATAGATGCAAAATGTTTGCAAAGATGTGAAGTGATTTTGTGAGAAAATCAAAGAGAGAAGAAAGTGTTCTTCATATATTTCAAGAAAGTGTTCTTGATAATTCCCAAATTATATCTATATATATATTCCTATACAAGAATACCGAGACATTTCTACTAGCGAAGAAAGGTCGTCGGAACCGGGCTTCATAGGGTGGATACGATTAGAGGGAAGACACTTGGATTCCTAAAGCGAGTAACCCCAAGCCGTTGAAGTTACAATCGGGAACCGATTCCCACAATCCACATCTTTGTTGAAGGAGTTCAAGACACTCGGTAAATATTTCGTATTAGTATTTACTTAATTATAACAAATCAAAATTTGTATATGATGCATATTTTAAAGATGACGATCTGTTAATTCGCAATTAGTATGTACGGGTGTTGTATTTATACGATAAATACTTACTTTAAAAATTTTAAATTCAGCTGCGTACAGCCCGTACGGTACTAACGAACCCAACACGATTACACTATAATTGACCGAAATTGTACTAATTTTACTTCAATTGGACTAATTCGAGTTCAATTACTATATTGTACTAATTTGAATTTAATTGGACTAATTCGAGTTCGATTACACTATAATTGACCGAGATTGTACTAATTCGACTTCAATTGGACTAATTCGAGTTCGATTACAATATAATTGACCGTGATTGTACTAATTCGACTTCAATTGGACTAATTCGAGTTCAATTACACTATAATTGACCGAGATTGTACTAACTCGACTTCAATTGGACTAATTCGAGTTCAATTACACTATAATTGACCGAAATTGTACTAATTGGACTTCAATTGTACTAATTCGTCTTCAATTGGACTAATTCGAGTTCGATTACACTATAATTGACAGAGATTGTACTAATTCGTCTTCAATTGGACTAATTCGAGTTCGATTACACTATAATTGATTGAGATTGTACTAATTTGACTTCAATTGGACTAATTCGAGTTCAATTACTAGATTGTACTAATTTGACTTCAATTGGACTAATTCGAGTTCGATTACACTATAATTGACCGAGATTGTACTAATTCGACTTCAATTGGACTAATTCGAGTTCGATTACACTATAATTGACCGTGATTGTACTAATTCGACTTCAATTGGACTAATTCGAGTTCAATTACACTATAATTGACCGAGATTGTACTAACTCGACTTCAATTGGACTAATTCGAGTTCAATTACACTATAATTGACCGAAATTGTACTAATTGGACTTCAATTGTACTAATTCGTCTTCAATTGGACTAATTCAAGTTCGATTACACTATAATTGACTGAAATTGTACTAATTCGCCTTCAATTGGACTAATTCGAGTTCGATTACACTATAATTGATCGAGATTGTACTAATTCGATTTCAATTGGACTAATTCGAGTTCAATTACTAGATTGTACTAATTTGACTTCAATTGGACTAATTCGAGTTCGATTACACTATAATTGACCGAGATTGTACTAATTCGACTTCAATTGGACTAATTCGAGTTCAATTACACTATAATTGACCGTGATTGTACTAATTCGACTTCATTTGGACTAATTCGACTTCAATTACACTATAATTAACCGAGATTGTACTAACTCGACTTTAATTGGACTAATTCGAGTTCAATTACACTATAATTGACCGAGATTGTACTAATTCGACTTCAATTGGACTAATTCGAGTTCAATTACACTATAATTGACCGAGATTGTACTAATTTGACTTCAATTAGACTAATTCAAGTTCGATTACACTATAATTGACCGAGATTGTACTAATTCGACTTCAATTGGACTAATTCGAGTTCAATTACACTATAATTGACCGAGATTGTACTAATTTAACTTCAATTGGACTAATCCGTCTTCAATTAGACTAATTCGAGTTCGATTACACTATAATTGACTAAGATTGTACTAATTCGACTTCAATTGGACTAATTCGAGTTCAATTACACTATAATTGATCGAGATTGTACTAATTTGACTTCAATTGGACTAATTCGAGTTCGATTACACTATAATTGACCGAGATTGTACTAATTCGACTTCAATTGGACTAATTCGAGGTCGATTACACTATAATTGACCAAGATTGTACTAATTCGACTTCAATTGGACTAATTAGTGATCGATTACACTATAATTGACCGAGATTGTACTAATTCTACTTCAATTGGACTAATTTGACTTCGATTGGACTATAATTGACCGAGATTATACTAATTCGACTTCAGTTGGACTAATTCGAGTTAGATTACACTATCGATATCAAATTAGTCCAATTGAAGTCAAATTAGTACAATCTCGGTCAATTATAGTGTAATCAACCTTGAATTAGTCTAATTGAAGTCGAATTAGTACAATCTCGGTCAATTATAGTGTAATCGAACTCAAATTAGTCCAATTAAAGTCGAATTAGTACAATCTCGGTCAATTATAGTGTAATCGACCTCGAATTAGTACAATCTCGTTCAATTATAGTCCAAATGAAGTCAAATTAGTCCAATTGAAGTCAAATTAGTACAACCTCGATCAATTATAGTCCAATTGATGTCAAATTAGTCCAATTTAAGTCAAATTAGTACAATATCGGTCATTTATAGTGTAATCGACCTCGAATTAGTCAAAATGAAGTCAAATTAGTCCAATTGAAGTTAAATTAGTACAATAACAGTCAATTATAGTCCAATTGAAGTCAAATTAGTACAATCTCGGTCAATTATAGTAAATCGACCTCGAATTAGTCTAAATGAAGACAAATTAGTACAATCTCGGTCAATTATAGTGTAATAGGCCTTGAATTAGTCCAATTGAAGTCGAATTAGTACAATATCGGTCAATTATAGTGTAATCGAATTCGAATTAGTACAATTGAAGTCAAATTACTACAATCTCGGTCAATTATAGTGTAATCGCCCGTTATCTTTTAAAAAATAAAAAATAAAAATAAAAATTAAGAACGGATTTTCAAATTCCGTTTTTAAGTTTTTATTTTTTAATAAATAAAAAATAAATATAAAATAATTAAAAAATAAAAAATGGATTTTGAAAATCTGTTTTTAATTTTTTTATTAAAAAAATAAATAAAAAAATAATAAAAAAATAAATAAAAAATAAAAACAGATTCTCAGAATCCGTTTTTTAACAAAAAATAAAAAAAAATAAAAAATAAAAAATAAAAAATATATAAAAACGGATTCTCAGAATAAACACGGATTTTGAGAATCTGACTATTTTATTTTTTTCCAGAAACCTTATTTTTGATTTATTTTTGTCCATAGATTTTTTGTTTATTTTATTTAAATAAATGATTACCCGGTGAAATGTGCAAATTCTTGCAAACGCAGGGGAAGAGTACTAGTTAGTTTCAATTTTTATATTCCAATTTCTTAATCTGGAAAATAAATATATAGTATTAATTAAAATATAGAAATCTGATAATGTAATCTTGTTACGCATTTAGTAAAAATTATTTAAATCAAGGAACGGACTCCAAATAAATAGTTATAGATCACAGGTGAAATGCACTTAATCCAATTCTCTTTTTCCGGTGCGGGTGGAAAAGTTGATGTGAAAAACTCAAATTGCATCTTATTATTCTTCCCCACATTATTATATTCCTTTGCTTTTCCGTAAACAAAGAAGAGATAGTGAAAAAGACAACCGAAGCTGGTGGTATGAACGCGTAGGCGCAGTTAGTCAACGAAACGGAGAGAATATAAAATCAATTTCACCTGCATCTTGTATCAACCGTCACCTGTCGGTCAGTTGGACACGTGCTACGTTCTGATTGGCTTGAATCGTCCAACCCGCGTAAGAGGTAACCTGAGAATACCGGCAACCAAGTAGGTGAGAAAACACACACAAAGCTAGGTGGGTTTGCGAGGGGAATCCTATGGGCTTCGACACTGTATAAATGAGGCAGTTGCAACTACTCTCAAAACCACAGAAAAAAAAAGAGTGACAATAACAATATAGAGAGAGAATTTCACCTAAAACCTCTTCCTAAACTCACTTGCACACACTTCACTAATTTCTTTGTTTTGTTCTTTTAGTTTTGGTAAAATTTTAATCCCCCCATTCTATTTCACCCCGCTTCTGTTGATCCCTTTTCTTCAAATCATCTACTTTTTCTGAAATTTTGTGATTTTTGGGTTTGTTTTTGTTTGTATAAAAATTTATTCATAGTCATCATGGACAAAACGCAAACTTAAAACAGGATTTCAAGAAAGCCAGTTATTTTCAGAACGAGATCTCATTTTTTTTTGTTCTTATTTCCGGTTTCATCGATTTTGAGGGCTTATTAGTGTTCCCTCGAGACTCGATTTTCGTTCAGGTTTTTCGAAAAACCAAAGGGACTTTAAGGGGTTGTCTATTTTAAACCTTCCTTAATCCCAGAAAAAAAAAACTGAAAAAATTTGTGTTAATTTTTTTTTTCTAACCTTGTTTAAGTTTTCTCTTTATTTGCTTCCTATCGGCGTATTCCTGTTCTTTAATTTTTTCTAAGAAACAGGTGCCCTTTGTGTTCTTTTCTTTTCCCCTTCAATACCTCTTCTAATTTTTTCTTCAAATAACAATTCAAAAGAAAAAAAAAAATATTGATATGGCTGGTGCTATGGATTTTTGGAGTAGCACAGCAGTTGTAGATCCTTTTGATGGTGGTGAACTAATGGAAGCACTTGAACCTTTCATGAAAAGTGCTTCTTCCACACCACCCGATTCTTCCACCCCATCCTTCTCCCTCTCTTCTGACCATTTTTTTGCTATGTCCAATCTCCCTCCTTCCACCTCATTTCCCTACTATCCCTCCACTCATCCCACCGCGTACCAGCCGCAGGGCTCAGCCCATGATTATTTGTTTGGGCTGGGCCAGGAGCATCAGCCCACACTTTTGGGCCTCAACCAGCTATCCCCATCCCAGATCCACGACATCCAAGCCCAAATCGCCTCAAGCCCATTCCAGGCCCAGTACCCTCCTAGCACTCACCACTACTTGGAGCCCATGCCCGTCCCCGTAAAGCCGGCCGGCTCGCCGCCGAAGCTGTACCGTGGGGTCCGGCAGAGGCACTGGGGCAAGTGGGTCGCCGAGATCCGGCTGCCCAAGAACCGGACCCGGCTTTGGCTCGGGACATTCGACACCGCCGAGGAGGCGGCGCTGGCGTACGACAAGGCGGCGTACAGGCTGCGGGGAGACTCGGCCAGGCTGAACTTCCCCCACCTCCGCCACAGCGGCTCCCACATCGGCGGGGAATTCGGTGAGTACAAGCCCCTCCACGCCACCGTCGACGCCAAGCTCGACGTCATCTGCCGGACACTGGCGGAGGGCAAAAGTATCGACGCTGTCAAGAAGGTGAAGGGATCCAGATCTCGAAAGTCCGCCGCCGCCGCCGCCGCCGCCGTGGAGGAGGAGAAAGGTGAGAAGGGGGTTTCGGGGTCGGAGAGCGACGGGTCGGTGGTGACGTCACCGGTTTCGGATCTGACGTTGATTGAGTTTTCGGAGGAGCAGTCGGGTTGGGAGATGGGATCTCTGCCCAAGTACCCGTCCTATGAGATCGATTGGGATGCTTTGTAATTTTTTTCAAACTTAAGGTCCTTGTTTGCAAAGTTTGTAGTTTTTTAATGCGACGGGTTTAGTAATTTAGCATAGAAATCTGTTTTTTCTTTTTTTGTTTTTTCGGGTTTAAAATGTAATTGGACGGTGGGGGTGGAGCCTACTGCAATGAAGTTTTTGACAATTGCAGCAGGCTCTTTTTTTTTAACCTTGTTGTCTTGTCGTTATTGGGTAGTTAGTATGGGTTAGCTGTCAACGGTGTAGCTGCTCTTTTTACGTGGCTATTTCCAGCCTCCAGGGCATCATTATTATTATTATGATTATTAGACTTTGTTTTATCTTTGTAATTCATTCGTGTTTGTATCCTATTGTGTTCTTTCTTCTTGTCATTCACCTTCAAATTTGGATAGGAAAACACTATAGCATTTTTACTTAAATGAAATAACATTCTTTAATGTAAATGGTTCTGGCATGTTTGAGCTCAGCCTTTTTACATTAAATGTAAATTGTTCTGTTCAGACTCTTTTTCATTTAATGTAAATGGTTCTGGTTGTGCCTATGTGACCCCAACAAGGAGAATTCGTCGAGGAGACCTTTTGTCACCCTATATTTTTATTTTGGTTTCACAAATTTTGTCACACATGCTTGTTTATGAAATAATTTGCTTACATTTATTTCGTACTTAAAATCTAACTCAACTTTAACTCAACTCTACTATCTTTAATATTATTTATATATTTAAATATTATAAATCAATCATTTTTACATATCACATCAACTTTAATTTTCTATTCATCCACGCACATAATTTTAACTACCTATAATTTTCAATCATTTATCTCCTACTTTACATCAAATCAATAATAATCATTTTTGTTTTAAATATTATTTTAATACATTATTAAAATCACACTAACAACTAACTATACCACATTTTTCAATTTAATTCTAATTAATTAAAATAACTAATTATGAGGAAATTATTTCATAAACATGCATGCCCTAACTCTTTTTACTCCTTAGGGCAATTTAAGGGACTTACACTCTGCAAAAATAGCCCAACCCTCACCCACCTCATGTTTGTTGACGATACCCCTTCTCCAAAGCTGACAATGACGAAGCCAACATTATCCTTCAAATTGTAAACCAATACAATGCCATCACAGGACAATGTGTTAACCTCCAAAAAATCCTCCATTTTCTTCAGTAACAACACCCTCACCAAATTCGAAATTAAATCTGCCAAACCCTCTTGGGAATTCAACCACAGACATCAACAAGATACCTAGGCCTACCCTTGGGTATTGGCAAATCCAAACTTGAAACATTCTCTTACATTGAGGAGTCAATAAAAAAAACCTGTCAAATTGGCAAAACAATTTTTTATCATGTGCAGGTAAAGAGACCCTCATCAAAGCAGTTTTGGAGGCAGTCCCATTGTATGCAATGTCTTGTTTCATCCTTCCCATAAAGGTCTGTGCCAACATTGCTAAACTTTTTGCTGATTTTTGGTGGAGATCAAAGAGAGAAGGAACAGGTGGCATTCACTGGAAATCATGGGCACTACTCACCCTCCCAAAAGACAAGGTGACTTGGGTTTTCATGACATTCACTTAATGAATAAAGCCCTGATCTCAAAACAGCTCTGGAGGCTGAGTAACAGCCTTGAACTCCTGATCAACAGAGTTATCAAGGCTAGATACTTCCCAAAACAACTCTGATCTCAGCACAAAAGAAAAAAATAAAAAAAGCAAAATGGATCATGGCTATGGTCTAGTTGGAGAATAACTCTGGATTTCTTCTCTCAAAATGTCATCTACTCAGTAAAATCTAGCTCAGAGGTTAGCATTTGCGATCACCCATGGCTCCCTACACTGCAGCATCTCAAACCCAATCCATCAAACCCCTAGAGACAACATTTTACATGGGTGCATGAACTGATGGATGATACTAGCAGAAATTGGAATGTGGAACTTGTGCAGCAGTACTTCCCACCTGAGGAAAGTTCAGCTATCCTCAAGGAGGAGAAAATGCTTCCAGAACATTGCAAGTAAATATTGCAGATGGAAGTTCAATCTCAATAAATAAAGTTTGTAAAAATTTAAATAAAATGATAGGAGGAGAAATATTTCATATTCTAACTGTTTATCAACAAGAATGGATTCTATTCCAGGAAATAATCTCTGTCAATTATATGAACCTTTTGTTCAATACACTGATAAGATAATTTTCACGAAAAATAATTAACCTGTACACATAGGGAAATTGAGATCAGCATACATGGTTGGAAATCCAGGACATTTAGATTCTATGAAGAAGAAATCTAAATCCAAAAAACCTGAACCAGTTCAAATAACCACTGATAAAATATCACTTCTTAAAGAGAGGGGGAAGAGGTTATTAGCGTTTAGGAAAGATATGAACATTTTTGTTCTTAACCAACAAAAATTTTCTATAATAGAGAAATTATAGAAAAAAGTTTGTGCAGAAAATCCACTTGATCCTAATAAGACCAAGTATTAGATGAAAGCTTCTATCAAATTAATAGATCCTAAAACTGAAATTGTGGTGAAATCAATGAGCTATACACCCAAAGATAGAGAAGAACTTAATCAACAAGTTCAAGAAATGCTTGGCATGAAAGTCATCATTCCTAGTAAGCCTCCTTATAGATCACCAGCATTTTTAGTAGATAAAAAAGAACTTCAAAACGAAGAATTTTTATTGATTATCGAGAGGTTAATAAGAAAACATTTGACGATGGTCATAATTTAGCAAATAAAGATGAACTCTTATATTTATTAAAAAGAAAAACAATATTTACATCTTTTGATTGTAAATTAGGTTTTTGGCAAGTCCTTTTAGACAAGGAATCTCAATTACTAACAACTTTTACGTGCCCACTAGGACATTACCAGTTTGTGGTAGTACCTTTTGATTTTAAACAAACACCATCAATTTTTCAAAGGCATATGAATAATGCATTTAGAAAGTTTGAAAAATTTTGTTGTGTATATGTTGATGACATTCTCACCTTCAGTAACACAGAACAAGAACACTATATGCATGTTGCAGTAGTTCTAAAAGAATGTGATATACTAGGAATAATCCTATTCGAAAAGAAAACTCAATTGTCTAAAATTAAAATTGAATTTTTAGGATTAACAATTGAAGAAGGTTTTCACAAACCTCAAAATCATATTTTTGAACATTTCCAAAGTTCCCAGATAAACTTGAAGATAAGAAACATGTAATGCATTTTTTAGGTGTATTAACTTATGTTTCGGATTAAATTTTAAATTGGCTAGTATACGAGCTCCTTTACAAGCTAAATTAAAGGAAGATCAAAAATGGTATTGGTCAGAAACCGATACTAACTACATGAAGAAAATAAAGAATAATTCAACCAATTTTCTTTTATTATACCTTCCAAAAACAAAGGGTCAGTTGATCATTGAGACAGATGCATCAAATGCATACTGGGTGGTGTTTAAAAGCACTATCTAAAGAAAAAGAGTATATTTGTCGATATGCTTTAGGAAGCTTTAATTCTGCTGAAAAGAATTATCACTCAAATGAAAAGGAATATCTTGCGGGAATAAAAACCATAAAGAAATTCAAAATTTATCTTACTCCCTATAGATTTATCGCTAGGACAGATAATAAAAACTTCACTTATTTCTTAAAGACCAAGATGAAATGTGACAGTAAACAAGGTGGACTTGTAAGATGGCAAATGTGGCTTAATCAATATGAATTTGATGTACAACATATTGCAGGAAACAAGACTGTCCTCGCAGACATTTTATCTCGAGAATTTAACGATTTTTGATAAAATGTTTATAGGATTAAGACTCATCGGAGCACATAACTAGTCACAGGCGGTGACTATAGAGAGTTGCTTCCCAGGCATGATTTGTGCTTAATAAAGCATCATCTATAATGGATGAATTACTACAACTTCGGTTGCGAGAAGGACTTCTGGTCCAAGAACTTGATTTGGTTTGTGCCAAAATCAAGTATGTAAGCTTGTTTAGAACTGAACAAAAAAGAGATTCTACTGTCTCTATTCCAACAATGGAACAATCGAGTAATGTAGCATGCCTAGATTGTGAACAAAAAGAGAAAATTTCATCTTCTTCAGATCTTATAGATCTTGAAGGTGAAACTAGTCCAAAGCAAACGGCTACTGGTAAAGACTCATCAAATCCATTAATAGCTAGCAACATGCTAAAGCGGCAATAGGTATTAAATTATCAACAACATCGGATAACTCTAATGGTTTAAACCTCAAACCAAACGGTGGAACCTCTGTTCCTGAACAGATAAAATCACTTCACAGTGATAAGGGAATTCAAATCCCAAATAAAAAAGATACAACATATTATGTCGTTGTCAATGGCCCAAATGCAGGTATCTATCAAGACTGAGAGATTACCAAAAAGGCTACAAGTGGTATTTCTGGTGTTTCACATAAGAAGTATAAAAGTTTCTTTAAGGCTCGTATTGGAGCAGATCAGTACTCAACAATAAATGCAATAGCTCCTCTTGAGCTAATTTGCACAGCAGATGGACTTCAGCCTAACACATTTACTGCGGCCATGAAGAAGCCCAGAAAACAAGAAAGGTTCCAGACTCTTGGAAAACTTCCCAAGAAACAAGAAGCCCAGCAAGAAGAACAGGTCACTCCGGTTCAACTTCCAAAAGAGGGTCTTGAATATTGGATTAACCTGGCACGAAACAGTGGTGAATCAGAAATCCTTACAGACAAATACTTCACGACAAATGGTAAGGACTTGAGATTCTTCAATTTTATAAAAAACGCAAATCCAAAAATGGTAATTGAAGCGTTTGAATATAGGATGGTAAAAAACATATATCCTAGCCAGACTTTGAAGGAACTACAAGAATTACCTCAAAACGTTCTTAAGTCAATCAAGCAATACAGGAAAAAATGTGTTCCCGGAGAAAAGGACATATTCCTAAAAATCACTAGTTCAGTACCCATTTGGATTAATGAT